GCCGCAGCCGCAGCCGCGGCGGCGGCGGCGGCGGCGTTGGAGTCGCTGCTAGCGTCGCGGGAGCTAGGTTGACTGGGGAGATAGGTTGACTGGGAAGATAGGTCGATTTCTCTCTCAAGATCAAGAGATGGCATCTGGAAGCCGCGGCGACATGGACGGGAGGCGATGGTCGGACCTCCCGGCGGACGTGCTCCGTGAGATATCCGGCCGCGTGCGCGCCGCCGCCGGCTTCGTCAGCTTTCACGGCGTCTGCAAGCAATGGCGCGGCTCGCGCGACCCGCTATCCCGGCGGGCGAGGGCAACCAGGACCCAATTCCTGCCATGGCTCCTCGCGCCGCCGGACGAAGAACCCGGCCACTTGAAATTCAGGTGCGTCTTCTCCAAGGCCAGCTACCGCGTGGTGCCCCCTTCGCCCGTGCCCCGGAGAAACTGGGTGTGCAGGACGGACGGAGCCGGCGTGTGGTATCTGGCCGTCGACGAACGCCTCCGCCCTAGCCTCCACGACCCTCTCACCGGAGCCGTCGCCCACCTGCCCACCTTCCCGTGGGGAGAGGGGTTTAACCCCTGTGGCGTCATCTTCGACGACGGCACCACATTCCTGTACAGCTACAATGGAAGAAGTGGATGGTTCAGGGCAGCTCTCCTGCGTCCCGGTGATGCCGAGTGGACGGCCATCGAGAGGACCCTCGAAGCACCTTTGATTTGGTACCGTGAGTTCTGCGCCACTTACCACGGTGGCAAGATCATGGTGACTGCTGATGCTAGCCTGTGGCACGTAGTCACGCCTGAAGGTGATGATGGTGACGACGTGTTGGTACCAAGGCCGCCACCATGTTTGCCGTCGGAGGAAGAGCCCTCCTCCTCGCGCCGTTACAGCCATGTCCTCGAGTCCTGCGGCGAGCTTCTGTGGGTGCTTGTCCAGGTCCAGTTGCGCAGTTACACTCCTAAGAGCGGCCTCAGACCCGTGCTCTCGGTGGTTGTGCACGCGCTAGGGGAGGAGACAACGACGTCGCCACCGGAGAAGAATACACCACGGTGGGTGAGGAAAGACGGTCATGGCCTGACCGACCGCGTGCTGTTCCTCGGGTGGCCCAACAGCTTCGCCATGGATGCCTCGCGGCTGTTGGGCGGTAGGGACGTCGACGGCGGGTGTGTCTACTTCGTCTACCGTGAAAATGCGGACTTGCCACGTGAACGTGAAGAGGTCGGCGTGTTCAGGTACAACCTCGTCGATGACAAGATCAAGTACTGGTACTACGGTCGTCAAAACAATCTTGAGATCATCGAGCGACTGCCTCAAGGATTGGACGAGGGGAGGTGCGCGTGGCTACTACCCCAACCTGCTATTGCTCCAATTCAGGTATGTTTGACAAATAATATCTACTAAAATCATAGACACATCAAGAGTTTACCTTTAATAACCTAGAGACTCTTCATAAGCATCTCAAATCAAATTGATTAATCAAGAGTATTCACTTTCCTACATCAGGAACTCAATGAGAGGGCGTTGAAGGCTCAAGAGCTCAAGCAGCAGCCGATCTAGTTACTAGGCCAACACATGTTGCTCACACCGAGAGACATTTTTTTGGATGGATGTAGACTTGAGGTAAGCTCGGCGGCGACGCCGGCCATGCATCTTCCAGCAAAGTAGCGTAGCTACATATACACTATATAGCTTGATCCTCTTTGTTCGTAAAATGGCAATGAAATGTATTGTTTGCACACATCTCGAAATTCATTATGTGTACTGACTCAAGTGGCGAAAAACATGAAACTTTGAACTTTATTTGCATATTGGGGGAATTGGCTGATAAGTTTTGACAAATAAAAAATAGAAACCTATGGTGACAGTTGTGATTTCTTCACTATTTTCGGCTGTATATATAGAGATGTTGAAGTGATTCCGTTGGGTACGCACCGCAGCCTAATTCCGCACGAGCTTGTGAGCAAAATAACTGAATGATGTTTGGTTTCGTTTCTATGAAATGGAACTGGGGCGGATGCCCATTTTACATTGAAAAAACTGGATTAATCCTTGATTTTGGTCACTCGACCGAATAGTAAGTGAGATCTACAAGGGATCGCAAGGTTGGCGTCGTGCAATGTTACAGATGACGAGTGGTTGATTTTGGCTGCACCAAGGCAGAATATGGCACTGTTAAACTGAACCCCTTTGGAACCGTTGGTAGAGCGTCATTTTTATTTGTTTCTATGTATTTTTCTCGAGCACGGTATGGTTGTCGTGTATGCACACATTTTGTCGTCTCATGAAAAAAAAATGTGAAAGAAGCTAGTGGTATGGGTGCAGAAGACAATACAGATTACAGAAGCATAGCATTCATTGTTGTTGTAAACAGTGAACAAGTTTAATTTGTTTTCCCTCAAACGTGTCACAAATTCATCATCATGTACTTGATCAAGTGATCCTTGGCAAATCTAGACGATGGAATTGCCTTCACCCAAATTCCACCACTTCCTTCTCGTTGGGCCGTGTAGTAATTCAGTTTTGCCACATCAGCGACCACCGAGACAAAACAACCTAATATTTTTTTTACCAAGAAAATAATAATCTCCTCTACTAAATTCTCAAAAAGAAAATGTTGCATCCATACTGCAGATTTTCTAGTAAACACAACATTTTTACTTTATTGCTTTATTTCCTTACACGTATCGACTGAGTGCCATGCCTTTGCCTGTGAAAACATCCATTCTATTTCTATAATTCTATCTCACGTCTTCGACAAAAAATCACTGAAACAGATCATTCATCGGGCGACGTTTCCTTGGAGGAAGCGCCATGCTGGTGACATGGAGACTAAGCGATGACCAATTAATTTCCTCACGAGTTCCTTGTCTCCTTTGCCCAGTCAGCGCCCTGGTCCTGGCCAAGAGCAATTGTGCATCTTGTTCCATCTTCATGTTCAAGTCGTCATGTCTAGAGGCAGGGACGAACTGAAAACTCTGTCCTTCGCCTTGAGAGCCTACAGAGGAGAAATAGATGATGATGAGCCACACACACACTACAAGAATTCGAGACACCGAGAAGCCGACCAGTGGAACAAAGCCTATGCGTGGCAGAGGTTTTTTGGTTTGATTTTATTTGCCTACCTCTTTGTCCCAGTTGGTGCGCACGGTGATGGCCAGCAGAAGCAGCATCTGCACGATCAATCCGCAGATTATTCCGAACCACAGCCCCTGAAGTTCAGACCCATAGGTTAGTTCTGAGAGGTTTCTTCAGATGAGAAATACGTACAAGTGAAACTGCAACTTTCTGTATGGTATGGTATGGTGTGGGTGGTGAAATCAGTACCATTCCGCCAAGATGGAAGACAAAGGCAAAGCATAGCGCCGCCGGGATGCCGATAAGGTAGTATGCGCTGAGATTGACACAAGCTCCAATCCTTTGCAGGCCACAGCCCCTAACAACACCTGGAATATCGTCAAGTATATATACCACACGCTGCAATCAGTATCTTGAGAGTAATGTTCACCGAGATGCTACATATCGCTCATCAATGATGCTCATCAAAATGACACGAGGCAAGAAGATAGACTAGAGTAGAAATTCAGGAAATGGTCTGCAAGTACTTGGAATTTGCATTATTTGGTGCATCATCTATATTTACCTGAAAGAACACATTGCATATCGTCGAAAATGATCGACACGGAAAGAAGCGGCATCATTCTTGCAATGTACTCCACCACCTCCTTCTCGTTGCTGTACGCATACCCCCATAGATTGCGCACCGAGACTATAATAAGTCCTAACGACACACCTGTCACGAGACCCAGAACCATGGTCACACGAGTAGCCAGACGGGCAGCTTCAGGTCGCCCAGCACCAAGCTCGTTCGAAACACGGGTGCTACAATGGCAAGATACACGATGAAATTCATTGCCGCAAAGACTGTACGATAAAGTTGTAGTGCAGCCATGGCAAAAGGTTATGAGGCTGAGTTGTTCAGTCGTACCTTATGGCTGCCCCAAGGCCAAAGGGGATCATGAATGTTAATGAAGCCGTGTTTAAGCTGCAAGCAGATCCACATTTCCCATCAGAACAGGGCATACAGAATGTGAAATACTCCATCAAAAATGCAACTCACCAAATAGACAACACCGATGCCTCAAGCTTAGGATTTGCCAGAAGTCCGGAGAGAAGTACCAGAAGCTCAAACGACCACCACTCTAGGCTGTGTACATGTAGGATCACTCGATCAGATTCAGTCGAAGATGGAACGCGGAAAAGCAAAAAATATACCTGCAAATCCGAGGGTCACAAACTAAAACTTACCAAACCATGAGCGCAGATGGCAGGGCAAGCTTCATGAAGCTGACGATGTCGTGAAACGCCTCCTTTGAGAGCCCTGTCCAGGTGCTCTTGCAGGATGGAGAGACTCTGATGTAGAGAGCCAAGGTTGACACATTGGCCAGGTACGAGACAGCATTGGCCAGAGCAGCGCCCTTGTTGCCCAGCCCAAGCTTGTATACCAGCAACCAGCACACAAGCACGTGGCTCAGCGCCGTGAGACCTGCGCTCGCCATCACCGGGACTACGATGCTTTGCGTCTGGAGGAACCGGACGTGGCACTGCAGCAGTCCGTAAGCGAACAGTGCCGGAATCATCCACCGGATGTAGCTCCCTGCCCCCATGGCAATCTCCGGGTCCTGGCCGAAGAGCAGGAGGATCTGCCCGGTGTACACCCAGAGCACCGCAACCACAACGCCCACCAGAGTGAGCACAAGGATGGCCCTCTGCTTGTAGATGCCGAGCAGATGGTACCGCTTTGCCCCGAAGGCTTGCCCACACAGTGTGTCCAAGCTGCTCGCCATGCCAGACTAAGATGATCATCAACAGATACAAAGAAAAAACCATTCAGGTAATCAGGTTGACGTAGTTGTTCATCCATGAGGATCAAAACATGTATGAGATGAATTGACATACCATCAAGCTGAAGCCGGTGACATTGGCGAAGGAGGTGGCGATGGAGGCACTCGAGAGGGCGAGCTCGCCGAGATGGCCGACAAACATGACCGATATCATCTGCACGACGTTCTGCAGCAGGCATCCGGCGATGAGGGGCCCGGCGAGGTACAGCTGCTTCTTCACCTCAATCACCACCAAGCTCTCCTTTGGCCCTCCTGTCTCCTCACTGTCGCTCTTGCCCCCAACAAGAGGCTCCTCCATGGCTGGCAACGTGCTAGAAATCTCACGTTCTGGTTCTGAACAAGGCAGGTGCTAACAAGTCAAGTGAGGGGCATATTTATCATGTTTGTGAAAGAATATTATAAGTACTACTAATCAACCTCATCATTATTGTATAGGCCCGGCACTGGAAACCAAGAGGAAACAGACGCAGTCGCTTGGCAGCCAAGTTGAACGTGCCTTCAGAGTCATTTTCAGCATGCCTGGGTCAAGTGGAGTAAAGAATCTCATGTGAGACAAACGCGACATAATAAACTATCTGACGAGCAAGATCGAATGGAACAGTTAACAGCACATGCTCGCCAGAGCCGGAGCCTATTATAGTCAAAAGTTGGAAAGCTACAGGTGTTGATGATTGCACCATTATAGTCAAAAGTTGGAAGCTCTCGTTGTCATGTGTCATATCTGGCACTTCATGACGCATACATAAAAGGGAATTTCGTAAAATGCTGCTACATCAATGGAAGATCATGTGCGACGACTCACAGTCTGTTCTCATGCAACGGTGCCTGCTACTCCTGGGTCGGCGAAGAGGCGAGCCGTTCAGGATTGCATGCAGTGGGCCTGATCCTGCCTAAAAAGTGAAGGAAAACATGTTTTCCAGATTTGTGTAGAAACTTCGTAGGGCTATTTAGGAAGAATGAAGTGGAAAAGAAATCAATGCACCAATGTAACGACATAGAAAAATGCACAAAAAGTACAATGAATAGTGATCTAAGATAGGGAGCAAATTTATAGAAATCGAAATCTGAAATGTAATGCAAGAGAAGAAGAAACAAAGACTTGACAAAGAATGTCATATATAGAATGCACAAAAAGTACAACACTTAATGATCTAAGATGGGGAGCAAATGTACAGAAGTCCAAATCTGGATCCTAATGGAAGAGAAGAAGAAAAAAAGACTTGACAGAATGGGCCAGAGGAACTTCTGAAGTCTAAAGTCCAGATCTGAAATCTGGAGTCGTAAGTATATTTCTCCATGCACCGTAAGAAAGTTGGATCCATGTCTCAAATTTATGATCTGCTAGACTTCCACAAGGCTTAACTGGGATTTAGAAACTAAATGGGAACGACCAAAATAGTTGAATGCCAATATACAGAAGTATGTAGCAGAAGCAAAGGCAAAAGTTGCTACTCTCATTCTGAATCACTTGCAGTTTGCGTCTCTTGAGAAACATGCGTTTTAATTGATAAAAGCACACACCAGCAAGAAATGTGTTAGCTTAACAATATTCAGCTGTTGATCCCGCTTTCCACTGCATCAACAACAAATGGAATCAGAAAATATACATCGTTGTAGTTGCAAAAAAAAAAACTACGGTCTAGCATCTCAAGGAAA